TGAAATTGTATACATTTTTGGATTCTCCTATGCTTAATCTACAAATCATGTCATTTTTTTTGAATAATATATGTACTACTTCCCACCTTTACGAGCGTACACGAAGCAATTTCGCGCATCATTTCTGCAGAACCTTGGATCCCTAATGCTTAATTGCCCACATGTCCATTTCCTCTCTCTTCATTGGCTTTTTTCATCCTCCTCTATCGGTCCTCCTTACTTTGTTCACTGCTGACATTCTTGTCAGAAAAAAATCGCGGATGTGGTTTCTCGCAGTGGATATAGGCAATGAAGGATTAGCCCTAATTGACGAGCGAGCGTGAGAAGAGTATACGACATAGTTTAATCTCGCATTCTAATCATTTTAGTTTTTTTTGTGATGATCGTTTTCCCCAATAAATTTCCATTTGGTTCAAATTTTTTCATTGACTTTTTTCAATTTTATGTCCATGCGGAACGTTGTTTCTGCTTGGAACGATGGTAAGTCCATGGTACTAGATGAGCAGCGCAACTTCAAACGATATTCAGGTGTTGGGTCTCGGTACCAATCATACTGTACACTTCCGCGGCCGGAAGAGGTTGATCCAGAAACACTTAGTGAGATGCACTCAAACCTCCACGCATTCTATGGACCTACTATACCAAAGGTAAAATCCTCTTTGTTCTTTTTCTTACACGTGATTGAAAAAAGTATCTGCAGGTAGTTTCTCGACCGCCTTCAGCGGCATCTCTTGTGCCTGGGCTGGGCCCTGGTATGGCCTCCGACTTCATTCATCCTACATCCGCTTTCAATGGAACTGCTGTGGGAATGAATGTGCCTCCTCCAACACCACACAAGCAAAGGGAGATTGTTAGTTGGAACACTCTCAGTCTGATTTGCAGCATGCAAGTATGTCTAAACCTTTGCCGATAATCCAAATGTTTACAAAATCGTCTTTTTATCCAGGTGCTCTGCTCACTTGCCATTTTTGGTTTGGGAGTGGGTCGTATGTTGCAAGGGGCAAAGTGGGCTATTGGTATAGAACTAGCCTATGCCCTTGTAGCCATGATAGCTGGGTTATCCGGAATTTACTCAGTTCGACAGCGAAGCTACGCTGCTGCTGCTTTCGTTTTCACACTCAGTGCATTTAGCACTCTTTTAGCTATACCACC